TATTTTTATTTTATTATTATTGGTATTGGGGATCAAACTTAGGTCCTTGCGCTTGCAAGGCAGGCGGTGGAGCCACTGAGCTAAATCCCCGGCCTTTATTTGTTTTTGTTTTTTTTATTTTGACACAGGGCCCTTGCTAAGTTGCTAGGTTGCTTGGCCTCAAACTCCCCATCCTCCTGCCTCAGGTTCTTGAGTGCTTGGGATGTCAGGCACATGCCATGACCCTGGCATGAGAGCTGTGATTTTGGAGGGCAAAGTAGATAATTGCATCTCCTTTACATGAAGGACTTTGCCCCTGGTAGGACCCAAAAGTAGAAAGGGATTCAGAGGCTGGTCTAGTTAGCTGTGGAAATCCTTGGCAGGGCTATAAATCCATCCCAGCTGAGAAAACTGTTTACTTATAGAGTCAAACCAAGCAAATCAGGCCTTAATAGACTAGTGCTGGTTGGCTGCTTCCATTCCTGAAATCAGTATGTCCCCACAATACTGATTTAGGGCAATTTCGATTTCCCCGACTCCTCTCAAACCTGGGTAAGGAGGTGGCACAACCTCGGCTTTAAGCAAGAAAGACCAAGGGCATGGGGGGGGCGGTCAGTGGGGTTTAGTTCTAGACCCAGAGACCATCTTCCTGCAGGGTACGAAAGTGGCCCTGGGACTTTGGAGGGGGCAGTGTTTCACCTGGTATTTACTGCAGATGCCAATGGAGTAGAAGACAGGTTCTTGCCCTGAAGGATACAATTAATTAACAAGTGAGCAGAGAACCACATCAAAGCTGTCCGGGAAAGGTCCTGTTCATTTGGTCAAGAGCAGCTGCTTGAGAACAGACTATACAATCTGGCCCAGGACTTGGGCTTGGGACGGCAGGCGCGGCCCAACAAGGCAGGCCTGGGCTCGTCCTCTGGCAGATGGACAAGGAGCTTGGCTTAGACTTTAAAGATGGAGAGGGGAAGGTTGGCTGATAAATCACTCACTGACTGCCCACTCTGGGCCAAACCCTGCAGGAAGGACAAGAGGAAGAAGTTGAAGCCAGAGTATTTCCTCTAATTCTGTCAGAGCAGTGGCTCTCCAGCGCCCCCTGGAGCAGCTGAGGCCCACCCAGGCAGGCCAGGGGGCGGAGGTAGGAAGGAGGGGAGGGAAGGCCCTGTGTTCAAGAAGGTAGCCTGGGCTCTCACTTGCTGTGGAAATAACAGCCTCTGCACTGGTTCTGTGTTTCCACGTAGGAGGACGCATTGGCTGTCCTTGGGTCTGGAAGTCTCATCTCCCCTAATTTCTTCACTGTGACTGTAGTGATAATGACCGCCACCTTGTCACTGTTCTAAAGACAGTTCCATCTGACTCTGAGCTGCCACTCACCAATGGCAAGTTGGATGAGTTAGCGGTTAGCCCCTTCCTTCCCTTGGGAAGGAAACTTATGGAAATCTCAGAGGACCCAGGCAGCACATGGGCTTCTGGGGCAGGGCCCCTGGTCACCACAGCCTTAGGGTCTCTGTTGTGGAAAGGATCAGAGGAAGGGCAAGGCCCATGGCCGTGTGACCACTGGGACCTGGCAGAGGCAGGCACGCTATCTCCCGGCCGTGCACACAGGGTGTCCCTTCAGAGAGAGATCCAGCCACCTCCGGGCACTCTGCTTCGGGGGATGGGGAGTGTGCGCCTCTTATAGACACTGTCACCCCTTCATTCTGGCCCTGAGGAAATCACCATTTCCCTTGCTGGAACAGACTGTCCTCCTCTTGGCCCCTGCACTAGCCTTAACTGTCCTAGTCTTCCACTGTGGGAGGTGCCTCGGGGTTGTGGCCATCTCCCGAGCATTTGGAACTCCTGCCTCTAACTCTGATTGCAGTGCCAGGAAAACTCCTTCAGACTAGGAAGTCCAGACGCCCAATAAAAAGGCCTCTTGGGACAGGAGACAGATGAACGTCTCTCATTTTTTGACTACCGGTGCAAAGCAAAGCATTCACTCTGTGGGCTTTCTAGCACACAGCCACTTGCCCTTGGGGCTTAGAGGAAGTGCTTCTGTCCAGCTGTCTGGGTTTGCAGAGGCAGAGAAGCCTGGAAGAAATAAGACCAGCACCCTTGTAGCCCTCTTACCTTTATCATCGTTACCCTCAGCACTGATACACACCCTGGAGTACAGATAGGAAGCCCAGTCTGACAGTGTGGGCCGGCATGATCCAGCAAAGGACAGCAGGGGCCCTCAGGGGAATTCCTGCCGGGATTGGAGTGGTGCCTCTCCCAGCCTGGCCTGGGGAATTGTGGCGCATGCTAAGAGATGTGCTGGCTGGCATGCGGTGAGAAAGACCCCTCTCCACACTGATGGGTTCAAGTGGCCTACTCCTGCCCAAGATATATCCCGGCAGAATGGCCTCTGGTGTGTGGTGCAAGGAGCTGTGCCCAATGGGGACTCAGGCTGAGCCTTACGTGGGGCTTTCTGTAGCCGCATTTGCATTGGCAAAGGGAGTTGGGAGATCTTGCTCAGCTGGTGAACATGTGTCTGAGTGCACAGTAACCCTCAACACTGTTCCTGCCTCCATGGATCCCTCATTTCATTTTGAAATAGGGCCGATACTCTCATGGGACAAGAAGCATCCGTTGGCAGGCTTAATCCATGCACTAAAGATGGAAGCATTTTCCCCTCCTCCCTTGCTATCAAAGTGTGTGTGGAATGTGGCTTCTCATTAGCCCCGTGTATTGCAAGGACCAGGAATGCAAGGACCAGGAATGCCGGAACAGAGGGGGATTCCTGGGATGTCTCCAGGGGTGAGAACGCCGCTGATCCATATCTTACAGTAGGAGGAAGTCTCCTCCCACTTGAGGCCATACTCATGCCCCAGTGAAGTGACCAGCCTCTGAGCCCGCCTCAGTGAAGACGTAAAAGCCAGTTGTTTTGTTAGTCGGCCATTAGAGCTGTGCCTCAGTTAGCTCCTCAAGTGAAAACCGCTTGCCTATTTTCTCTTACTTTGCAACTCTGCCCAATAAATCTGTCCGTGCTTCTTCGAATTACAATTACAGATGCATCCTGAAATACTTTTTCTGTGATGAGAGTTGACGAACCTATTCTGTGGGAATGGGGCCAGCTGAGATCTCCATCTTCTCTTTGGGGGACCTCTCTAGGCCCTCTGGTGACATATGAATTTTATGATTTCCATTCAAATTGAGCAACAGAACTGTCTATCCCATAGAGAAAAAGAAAATAGATTCAAATACAATATATGAAAGAAAGGCTTCCTGGTGCAAAACGGAGTCTCATATTGTTCAGCTGGTAGCAGTAACTTATTTAAAAAAATAAAATAAAATCTTCTCTTCAAATCTGTATTGTCTATATTTCTTATTGATGTTGACACCACCATTACCACTGCTGCCTATCACTTCAGAAAGGGGACGCAAATGGCTCTTTGAATCCTTTCTAACCTCTCCCTAGAGGACAATTGCTCCTTTTAGCAAGTTCTCCTAGTTTTTGCTACAGCTGGTTTTCAAAGGATCCTGACATAAAGTCCTGCCACTTCCTCTGGGAAAGACTGTTCTATGGTTAGGACTTAGCATGAATGAAGACAAGTTTTCCCTTGCTATTCTTCCTCAACTTTCTGTTCTAAATGTCATCCTAGCAATCATTAATCACAGTGAATAAGAAGTTATAATTAACAGAGGCCCAAATCACTGAAGTGGAAGATTACTCTTTTGAATTCTTATATTTTTCTTGGAAGATGTCCTCGAGTTAATTATTTAGTATTTGGATTTTTTTTCAAGCTGTAGTCTTGTTTCTGAAATGAACAAATTGATCGCAGTAGCACGGAGTGTGTGGGGCTTATGTATAATGTATGCAGGAGACAGGTTGGGGGCTTTGCTCTCACTGCTTGTGTTTTGGAGAGGAAAAAGATCAGCTGCCTGGACTCAGGGCTGTGAAGATCCTGAGGTGGCTCTGGGGGTGTCAGTGAAATACACCAGGAAGAGAGGTGCCAGGTTCCGTCAGAGGCTGAGCCGGCGGAGGGCAAAGGACCACGGTGCACAGGGGAGGAGAGTAGGTAGTTTTCATGCACAGAGGAAGTTTGGTGACTCCGGGGTCCCTGTGGCCAGCCACTTAGTGCACCGAGGAATCATTTCTTTTGGATGGAGTTATCTTGCATCCCCAGGATTAAAAAGCTCCATCTGCATTGGAAACAGGACGTTTTATGTTTTAACCTGAAATATGGAGGCGACTGTTCAAACACGAGACATGAGGGGGCAGGTTAGAGACCATGTGGCTGTAGGCTCTGGATGCGTGGGCGAGGGGAGGCAGAGAGGGTAGAAGTGTATCGAGTCCCCTCCCTGCCATCTGACCTGCTGGCATTGCCCAGGGACTGGTACAGCTTCCCTCCAGCTGGGCTAGGATGGTGTTTCCAGGTGTCATTCGTATTTATATCCGGAGTTCCCTGGATAGGCTCATCGGTTCCACTTGTTTTTAAAAAGGACGTCATCACTATGTATTTATTCTCTGGGCTCAGCAGCTTTTGGGGCTACAGAGCGCCAGGGAGGAATCCTGTTATTCTGCTGAGCTCCGTGCGGTTGGTGACATCTTTCCAGCATTGGGTTACACTGCTTGGACCGCAGTCCTGCTGACTTCAGTGCACCCCAGTGGCTGGGAAACCCTGAATCGATGGGTCTCCGGTTGCAATGGGAATCGGTGATGTGATAGAAGCATCTGGCGTGAGTCCTGAGCCTGCAGGGGTGGGATGGGCTGGCAGTGCTTAACTCCACATCCAAAGGCTAAAACACACTCAATTCATTCATTTATTCATTGTCTGCTCCTTCAGGAGACGTTAACATAATTAGGAATTAGTTGCTGAATTGTTTCACAGCTCTGAAACTTTCCATACTGTGGTCAACTATTGGCCCAAGTGGCTCCATTTCTCCCCTCTCTACATCCACTTGGTTATTTTTTTATTGTGACTCTGCCACTTTCCCTACAGAAGGGAGGGGATCTGTTTCTTTTGCGCTTGAAGATAGGCTTATCTTCTGGCTGGTAGCTTATTGCAGAAGTGGTGGTGTGACCTCCGGAGACTGCACCTCCAGAAGCCGTGCACCCTACTGCTCTTATCCTTACAACCCCATCACCCTGGGAACAAGACCAGCATGCTCTGTTCTCTGTTGGAAGAACAGAGGCCACTCGGAGGAGAGTCCAGCTGTCGCAGCTTGCAAGCATCAGAGATCTCACACTGCTGAGCCGCAGGTATGTACAAGTCTACTAAGTTAAACTGCCTACTTGATCTTCTGCTGCCTGCAGCTGCGTGAGCAGGTCCACCTGGGACCAGAAGATGTCCTGGTTTCCGTGTAGGCTTGTACCCAGCAACCAAAGCTCACTGTTTCTGGCCACGAGTTTTGGAATGGCTTCTTAGACAGCAATAGCTAAGGTTTGTACATGTACATGTGTACACACACACACACACACACACACACACACACACACACACACGTACACGTAGGTGCACACAAACACACAACAGGAATACATGTCAATACTTCAATTGGAAAACAGACTAAGTCCGAAACTTCTCCCAAGGAGGTCACATATACTTTAGCAGTAGACAGACCCAGTAAAACTGGCCACCAAGCCTGGAAGAATTTGGCTTGTGGTTCCTAAGAATTCCAAGATGGTCCACCTGCCAGGATCAGGGAGGGTAAAGAAGGATGTGGATAATCCCTGAGCAAATGACCCACATGAGGTAGCGGAAGTGGGACTGGGTCCAACTGTGCCAGGCTTCTAGGAGTGGGGGAAGGGGCCACTGCTATGGCAACCACAGTGACAGTCTGCAGCAGGCCTAAGGGGAGGGTGTGGCTGAGGGGCAAGATAGGCCTGGTCTTGCCTTGCTGAATTCTCTCCTTTAATTCAAAGGCAATGTGAAGACTCCAAGACGAGGACAATTCAGACTAAGGAGAGACCAGTTTTGGGCAGCAGTGAAAAGAGAAGGTCATGTAAGTGTGGGAGCATTGCCCTGGGATTTGAGAAGGAGGAAATGTGATTTTAGTTCTCATAATATCATCATCACCTCCTGCTGTATAGTTATTGAAGAGAGTGTGAGAGAGCCTGTCTGTGAGCGAGACTGTGGCTGTTGGTTCCACTTTCTGTTGCTTTAGGCAAAGTATCTTACATGTTTCAGAACTAAAGGCCACTGTGCCTACAGGTGCCAAGGAACCAAGGCACCATAGCCATTTCTGCTGCTCATGGGGTGGGGGTCACTTAGGGGTGGCTGCTCTGTGTACAAAAGAGGTTGGAGGGGGGCCCTTGAACCATCCTTAGAAGCTCTTACTGCTTGTATGGGGCACCCCAAAGCTAGGCTTGAACTCAAATCTAGAAAGGCAGGGTTACCCTGGTTGGTCATTGGTTACCTGTACCAGGCTCTCATGGAGGGCCTGTTAGACATGCAGATTCCTGGGCCTCCCACACCTACTTGCCTGAAAATGAAGAGAACTAGGAATTACTCCGGTAGCCCTAGCCCTACTAGACCGCAGGCTCCAAGCTGGGAGGCAAGCACAGTGCTCCCTGAAGTCCCCACAATTACCTGTTTTTCACCCATCCTGTTGGCTTCCAAAAATGCATGCCAGAATAGCCTGGACATATTTTTCTAAAATGTGTAACTCAGGCCCCATTGTAGACACATTAAATCAAAAATCTCACAGGACAGGGCCCAGGAATCAACACGTAATTCTGAGGAAAAAAAAAAATCTCTCCGGCAATCTTTGATGCTCAGAGGGATCACTGGGCTCTACCTTTAATGGGTCATATAAGTGACACCAGTAGATGATCCTCTCTTAAACTGATTCTGCAGGGTCAGAAGCCACCATCTGACTTTTAGTGCATTTATTCGGGGTATGTATTTTTCCTTTTAATTTGGGGGTGCTCTGAGTGAACTTATTTTGAGTATTGGAAAGCTAGAGGACAACGAAAACGAACTTGTAGGAGGCAAGCTGCACACCCATCTGCAACAAAATCAGCCCACATTCCCCGAATGGTGTCATGCTACCAAGACAGATCTCCAAAGAGATACCGCCTCAATGGAGAACAAACCCTGGAGAGGTTCAGTTATGCTCCACACATGTGTTTCTAGGGAGCCCAGTAAGAGAGGGGCTGGAATGCTCGAAAATAAAGCTTCCAGGGTTCCGGAATAAAGTGAAGAGCAGCTAAGTTGGTGCTCAGATTGTAATTTTATTATAGCTTTGATTGCTAATAATGATCCAGTGCTTCAGTTAGGATGTTTGCATTATTAATGTAATTAAAACAACTGATGGATCGTGACTTTATTAAGGACACCTATCACAATTAAATCTTTATTCACCTGACAAATATTTGCCTACTATATGTAAAACATTGGACAAACCAGATGACTTGTGCTTCTGAGTTGCTTATGAAAAGGGAAATGTGACACTAGACAGGAACTACAGATCAGGAAGTTTAAGGTAGATGTCATTTAGCCTGGGGGAAAAAAGGATGGTTTCAGGGAGTGGATGGAATTTGAATAGGGCCTTGAGAAACTGGTTGCATAGCTTAACATGGTAGGAGGCACATTCAGTGGAGGAAGAAAGAACAAACCCTGCATAGAAATGAGTAGGTATAGGGCAGATTTGGAGGAAGGGGCTTCACTTTTTTTTTATTTTTTGCATTTAAGATTGGAGAGCTCCGAGGGTTAAAGGGTGACAATGGTAGGTCTAGTGATGGCAGCCTGAGTGGTGGGGGGCCACTGGAGGCGTTCATATCCCATTGCCAGCGCTCGGGAAGGACATGACCACTGCATCCTGGCACTCTTTCCACTAGCTGGGCAGAGCCTCAGAGTCCTTTTCCATGCTGCACCCACTCAGCCACCACTTATGATTTGGAGTTGGTTCCTGAAAGGCACATTCCGTACCCCCCCACCCCACCCCCGCCCTTTTGAAGGCTAAGGAATTAATGTTTTATTCTGGAGGCAGTGACTGGAGGAGACGGTCTCCTTGCTCTCTTGATGGGGTCGTGAGTCAAACACGATCTTTCAGATGATTAATCTGCTGACAGAATCTGGAAGGATGAGGGGGAGGCAGGGAGTTAATGAGACCAGCGGGCCAGTTAGGAAACTACTGAGCTCGAAGTGATGAAGGCCACGCGAGGGAAATGGCAGTGATGGTGGGGATGGGAAGAAGAGGACAGGAGCAAGAAGCCTTTTGAGGGTAGAATTAGCAACGCTTGGAAGCTCATGGAATATTGGGTGTGGGAGGAGGAAGAGATCAAATGACTGGAGTTTCTGATCTGAGGGCACGTGATGCCCCAGCAGAGGAAAGGCGTTCAGGAGAAGCAGCAGGCATTCGGAGGCATTCCAGTGTGACGAATTTAGTTCTGGGATATGGAGTTGGAAAAGATGGTGCCACACTGTGGGGAGAGAGTTAGGAGAAGTCTGGAATTGTGGAACCAGGATCAAGGCAAAGGAGGAGCTAGAAACGTGCCCTTGGGAATTATGTACCTCCAGATGATGTTTGAAGGGATATGAGTGGATAAAAAAATCATCAAAGGAAACAATGTAAGCAAAAACGAGAAGGAGGAGGGAAGGAAGGGGACAGAAGAGAAGAGTATCCTGCATATTGAGCCTATTATAGGGCAAGCTGTGCATGTATTTATCTTCCTGCATTGAATTATTTGCAATCTAATTGAAAATCTCCACTAAAACCCTCTGGGGATTCTAGAACACTCTGTCTCACTATCTCCTCCATTCCTGCCCCACACTGGCCAGGCAAGACCAGGAAAAGACCTACAACCTAGATACCAGTTGATGGAAATCACTGTGGGTCCCTGTGCACACTAAGTGTTTTGTTGGAACGCAGGTGCAGATATGAAAATGTGGTCTCTGCAGATGTGCAGTGGTAATCATTCCGGTATTCAGGAGCCCGGAGTTTTGCCCCTTACTGCTTTACATTTGGCCCAGTGTTGCATGGAAAGAGAAAGGACAGGCATCCCAGAGCCATCCCGGTCCCTGTGAGATGACCTGGTAGCACGACTAAACCAGAGGAGAATAGCTTGGACAGAACATTGAAACAGGTCCTGGTCTATGTCTTGGAGCAACCTCTTTGGCTTGAAGACTGGAGGGAAGACATTAGCCAGGTTGAGTCTCAAAGCCCAAGGGCTCCCAGGGCCAGGGTTGCAGAATGTTTGGGCCCTGCATGCCCATCATCAGAGACCCTCAGTTCCATTCCGTATTTACCAGCGTAAGCTCCTGGGTGGATCCCAAGTCAGGCTGCTGCAGCAGATATCAGAAAGAACATTCTGCAGAGACGTGCACTGAAAACAGTGCCTTGATAAAACAACGCCACAAAGACTGGACAGAAGCTGGGCTCAGGGATTTAGCTCAGTGGTTCTGCATCTGCCTCATAAGTGCAAGGACCAGAGTTCGATCCCTGGTACCAAAAAAAAAAAAAAAAAAAAAAAAACTGGACAGAAGCAGCCTCCCGTATCAATTGCCGAAATTCCCTGTAAAGCTCATCTTCTCAGCCATGTTTGCTGAGCCCTTCATCTCCATCTCTCCCTGGCCACTCCCAGGGGATTTCTGGGTGCCCTGGATCCCGGGACATCAGAAGCCTCCCCTTCTGTCCATTTTCTGCCGAGTCACCCTTCTCCCACTCTTCCTCTCCCACGGGGTCTCCTTGGCCTTCTGAATGCTCCCCACCTTCATCACTGCTGTCTCCCTTCAGCCAGGTGGGGCTTCCTGCAGCATTGTGGAGAGGCCACTGCTTGGCCGGGGACCCCTTTCTTGGCAGGTGGAATTTCTACCCTCCTGTGGAGGTCATGTCTTCTTTCTGGACGTAAAAGCCACACGTAAGAGGCTGCTGGAGGCATTGCCTTCAATTTTGAATGAGCCCCAAACTTTGCGCTTCTTATGAGAGACATCTTCTTTACTCCTCCTTGGCATCACACTGAGAAGGTAATGATGATTAATAATAATAATTAATAATAATAATTTTTGTGATGACAGGAGTAGAGAAGCCCACATACTGTATGTTGGGCACTGTTTGAGGGTGCTTACAAGGATTAATCCTTACAATAAATATATCCTCACTTTGTAGACTGGGAATCTGAGGCACAGAGAAGTTGAACAACATGCTCAAGGCACATAAAAATTCCCGAACACCCTGACTGTATGCTGTCACGTTATTTCTATTGTTCGTTCATGTCGGCTTCCCTTGGCTGTGACCTTCCTAAGTCCAGTGTTCTCATCTGCGCGATATATGCCATTGACAAGCTCCCTTACTACCATAGTCTCCATGCTCTCTGCTCTTCCTGGCTCTGCTTTCCTGCTGCAGCAATCCTGTTTTCTCAGAAATTCTCTCTTCAGCTCTTCCCGTGTTTTGCAAAGAAATAATTGCCTGGCTGCACTGGAAGCTTCAAGAAAACAACTTGAGAAAATACCCAGGACGCACTTGTTGGCTCCCGTTTCTATCAGAAGGCTGTGGAGTCACAGCTACCCCAGTTGCCTCCAGGAGCCTTCATTAAACCAGCATTTTGATACTGAATCGATGTTTTCCACCCAAATTCCCTTTGGGAGAGGAGAGGAAAGAGCCCTGAGTGGCTGGGTCAGTCCTCAGTGACTTCTTCTTTTGTCAGAACTCCACCATATTAGGCAGATAAGTCTTCCACCACACTGGGATTTGGCCAGAACAGAGGTTAGAATCAAGGGCTCCCCTTGGCCATCAAAGGATTTCTTTTTCTTGGAACAACCACAGGGACAGAAGATGTATTGGTTTTGTTCCCAGATCTGTTGCCATTTATATGTGATTGAAGTTCTGAGCTCCTAGTCCCCTAGAGAGACAGACAGGCCCAGGGCTAGTCAAGAGGCTGAAGACTACCGTGAAGGCAGGATGGATCCTGTAATCCTGCTCTGTAGTTTCCTCCAGCAACCTCCGGGTAGGGTGTGCGTGTGGGGAGCCTGGCGCTGTCTCTGGCCAAGGTGCTGAAGGAC